CATCTGTTTTATTGAAAGAGCAAATTAGGTATGGAATGATGCATTTGGTGGTGGGGAAGGGAGCATCATTCTCTTCTATGTCATTTGTCTCCAAATACACCCTCTAGTATAAGAATTTAAACCAAATCTTATAATTGTTTTTCAAATACATCATCCAATATAAGAATTTAAACGAAATCTTTTACCTTTTTAATTATTTCATAAAGCTGATATTTTACATAAATGCATACCATAATTATTTAAGATATACTTATATTACTTACATATTATTTATTTCCTAATAATTTTAGGACTTTATTCTCATTCTTCCCCACCGATATTGTGTAAAAGAGATTAACATAAGCTGTGGTGAGCGAAATTGTGAACTTAATAGTAATTGATCTTGTTAGATTAATTGGAGGTGACCCATCCGAAAAGGATAACACTGACATTCCTTGATCCTTGAAAGTTACTCTATTATTCTATGCATGATCCATTGCATTCTAGGAAATGTGGCTTAGATGATTGCATTAAACGGATCAATCATACATATATTTATTTTGTTACAATGAAAGAGAAACTAAATTCAAAACACAAAAAGAAATGAAAACAAATAAAGTAAAAATGATATGAAATACAACATTACGCATACATATGTATAATTTTTATGAGAAAATTATGAATAAATGCTCCAAAAATTATCAATTTACAGAGAGCATTTATGCAATCATATAATTATAGATATACTACACTAAAATGCATTTACATTATAAATATACTGTACTAAAATGCATTTACATTATAAATCAAAAAACATGTTAGTATTGTTTAGTTAATGTGACGAGGAGGCAGTTGGCCTTTTCTGAGAAAAGAGAGAGAGTACTCTGCTGCGTCGATTAGGTCAGCAATGTTGTGCTGAGAGCGTTCATCGGAACCCACCCAAAACATTGCTCGCACCTCCGCCTTCTTCGAGAGCCTCGCCGCGAAACTCAATGGCAGTGCCGGCGAATTCAGGCTCCGTAGAATTTGCCTATAAAGCGACAGCACTCGGGCTTTGTTGCGGCTCAAATCCTCCGCCGTGGCCCATACCAAGCCCATTCCTAATTCGCGACTCGCTTCTGCAACAACACAGGTTCTTAATTCGTTCCTTTTGCGCAGAAATATTACATTAAATAAAATAAAGCTGTAAATAAAACTAAAAGAGGCGGGTGAACTGTGAAGGAAGGTGAATCAGAAAGAACGTAGCGATGGAGAATTTGATCATATCAAACACGTTATGTAATGTTTGATGATCACTCATCCTTTTTTCATCATGTTCACCTTCTCTACCTAATTAGAGAGAAAAGAAATGAATGATTTAGGGTTTCTTAGATAATACCTTAATCAAGCTGCGATGAGGAGTGAGGAGTGTATTTTGACGGTTTTAAAGCGTTTTCGTATGAAGAACCCAAACAAACCTAGCTCCTAGGTTTGGAATTCTGGGCCTTTGTTTTCAGATTTTGATTCTTGTACCCATCATTACTAAATGCAACCCCATACTAATTGAAAAAATTGAAATATCTTCACCACTGCTGTTATTGTTTATAATATTAAGAAAGTTTACTATTATGATTTTCCAAAATTGCCCCTTTTTAAACCCTGAAACATCTTATTCAGATGGTTTTGTGTATTTTTAGCATTGCTGAGGCTTTTTGTTTTAATTTATTTTTTTAATAATAATAAATTTAAAAAATAATATATTTGTATAAATAAGTTTAATATATGTAAGTTCGTCCAATTGGTCATCTGGTTATCCTATCTGTCTAGCCAGTTCGACAAGATCGACCATCTTGTCTATTATTCGTTAGCCCGTTAGTCCATCAACCTGGTCCATTCCGACAATTTCGTCAGCACCGGTCCAACCAAGCAATACCAGGCCAAGGCAGATTATTTTTCGTGTGCCTGCTTGCAAAAGAATGATGGTTACAATGACCAGAAAACACCAGGTTAGATGCTAATTTAGAAAATTAATTCTACAGCCTATTATGCTCCTTGGCTTACTATATGTGCGTGAATGGAACAACATGCAGTATGTTTCTTCTGCTACATTCCTTTTAGCTGTTTACTCTAATTACGTCTCAGCAACAAAAGCATATCTCAACTGTCCAGATGGACAAACTCAGCCTCAGGAGCTCCTCAACTTTGTTAAGTCTCAAGTATCATTTGCAATCTGCCATAAAAATCTTTAGTTTGATGTTCTCTAATAAAAATTATTCTTAGTCTCAGAATTCCGCATAATAAAAGTTTGTATAAAAGATTACTACTAGTCACTCCAGCGAAACTCCAATTTTAATTGAATAAAATGCATCTAATAAAAGTTTTGCCCATCATGGTTTAATGCGTGGTTTAAATAGTATACTGAAACTGTGAATTTTGATTGACACAGGCTGATTATATCCTTGGTAATAACCCGGCGGATATGAGCTACTTGGTTGGATATGAAGCAAAATATCCTCTTCATGTTCACCAGAGGCACTTCCATTGCTTCAATCTTTTCTCTTCACAGTGAGGTTGGCTGCACTCAAGGATTTGAGCTGTGGTATAACCGTGCTGAGTCAAATCCTAATGTCATCTGTAGTGCCCTCGTGGGTGGTCCAGATAAAAATGATGGCTTCTCTGATGACAGATCCAATTATGAACAAACTGAGCCTACACTTTCAGCTTCTGCTCCTCTTGTGGACATCTTTGCTAAACTGCAGAGTTTGTATTGTAATATAGGTGAAGGTGAGGCGTAATCTCCATCCCTCGTACACTAATCTGCTTTGTTGTCTTTTTCTCTTCCAGTATGAATCCTCAATCACTTTTCTCTTGTCGCAGGTTACAACCATAATGAATCACCAATGCCCCAACAAAAAACACAGTAAATATCATTGAACTTGTTTAGTTCCTCGTCCAGATGTGAGGATAATCGCTATTCTAAACTACTATGCTCTGTTGTCTTCCTCGTACACTATGAACCCTCATCACTTTTCTCCTACATGTCACAGGGTACAACCAAGATGAATCACAAGTGCCCCAACAAAAAACACCGAGTGAGTACTATAGTCTATAGAACTTGTTTGGTTCTACTTTCATTTGTGATTTTTCATGTTTACTCAGAAGCTAATAGTTTTAGCTTTTACATTATGTAACATAATTGACATTATTTCTGGCTTTGGTTTCCCAATATGCATACCATAAACTAAACTAGCAAAGTTGAAAAAAGAGTCTAAACCATTTTTTAATTTAGAAAACTTCTGCTCTGGCTGTCATGTGTTGGCTTGATAGGCACATATACAGGAAAAGAAACGGCATCTAAAACATCAGAAGGTATCTAAATCTAATGATCACTGGCTAAAGAATGATAAGGTTGTGTTGCAGGTGTCCCGGTGCAATTTCTTCTCTCAATAAGTAGCACATGGACTGTTGGAGGTGCAACCTACTACCGTCACAGGCTCTTTATGGGGTCTCTCTTCAACAGAAGAAAAGGACACCTATGAACTTCCTCAATGGCAGAAGGTTTTGAACCCTCGCTCTGAGTGTATATTTGTATATGACCCCAGGATAAAGTTTCCATTAAAAGCTTCCAATGATCATTTTTAGAGGCCACGTCGACAAAGGAAACACTTATTACACAAGTTTAATTTGATAGTTAAACTTCGATCAATCCATGATTGTAATTTTGTATTATCAATTAATTTTGTATTATCAATTTATCAACCCAGTTCATACCTTACTGTCCACACTTAAATTGTAATATCAGTTTCCGAAACCTTCCTATTTGATCCTATAAACAATCAATATATGAAAAGTTACCAACGAATCTAAAAATATACGAGCTTGTATTATGGTATTAAGGTGCATGCGACTTTTCATGCCTAGCATGGCCATGTGCAAGAGCAATGGCTAGCTAAGGCACTCTCTGTCATGTCACAACTCACAAGGTTTTATCCACAGGATAGACGTCACACAAGAATACACTTTTATTGCAAGTTTATATTTCAATTCTCGTGAACATAGACCACAGAATGATTCTTACATTCATATTCATATGACCTGCATTTTTTGGCATAGTGCCAAAAGAAAGGTTTAAAAGCCGTAAGGGAAAAACTCCAAAAATATGCCTACAAATCGCAAAGCAAATTCTCAACTCTAAATCCTACTGTCTGATTGAAAAAAGAAAAATAAATAATATCGCCAATGCTATGCTAATTCCGGTGACACTAGCTTTTGTGGGGTAGCTGCCACTTAATGCTGGTCTTTGGGAATGTCAAGATCTTTAAATATTGGACTGTCAACTCCAACACCCATAGCATTCAGACCATTGTCAACATATAGAACAGTACCAGTGATAGCAGAAGCCAAAGGTGATGCTAAGAAGGCAGCTGCGTTGCCCACCTCCTCTGTAAGAACACAATTCAACTCAGTTGTGCAAATGATCACAGATTGAAACTGGAAGTTACATTACAAGGAATCATTCTGATGACTGTTACCTGCAGATAGTTCTTTCTGTAGAGGTGCATTGGCCAATGAATAATCAATCATCATATCAATGAATCCAATAGCCTTTGCAGCCCGACTTCTCAGTGGACCTAGGGACAAAAATACAGTGTCAACATGTTAATCACAAAAACTAAATTCAGTGAATTTGTTAACAAACATTGAAGGAAATTTGTTAACTTAACAGACATGGAATTATCCGCAGTGGGTGAGAGAACCACGAAATAGCAAAAAACACGTAATCTAAATGGAACTAGAAGGTTACTCTATTGAAGAGAAGACTTAATTCGTGTTAATTATATAAAATACCACTCAATTATTTGGTATAATTTTGGTGGCAGTTAAGGACACAGTTGACTAGAGCCAGCATTGAATGTAACAGATAGTAAAATCATGGTGTGGAAATTCAAACCGAGTCCATACATACGTGCCCAAATGAATAGTTCATTTTTAATTACCAATCCATAACAAAAGAGATGGTCTGGCATTTGTTTAACAAATTTAAGATACCCAACCAACGTAATTGACAGATTGCACCCGCATGCCCACTTGTGCAAAATGTCACAGACCAAGCAAGGCACCCATCAGTCCCCACCAACGTCTTCCCCGTTATGAAATCTTAGCAAGACAGAATTAAGATTCCCGAAACTGGAAAAGAGAGAGGTTACCAGCAGATATAGTATTGACTCTAATTTTGCGCTTTCTTCCTGCTTCAAAAGCAAGAACCTGAAAAGGTATGAAATATGTAAATAGAGAGAAGAAGAAGAAGAAGCAACGAAGCACATATGAGTCAGTCCATGAAATGGAGAATTTTGGGGGGAGGAAGCTTACTCGGGTATCACTCTCCAGTGCAGCTTTTGCAGAACTCATACCACCACCGTATCTGTATCAGTATTTAGATCATGAATACTGCCAGTCTAAAATTATGAATCCAAGAATGATAAGTACTTTCTATGGCATAATCAACATACCCAGGAATGATCCTTTCAGAAGCAATGTATGTCAGAGAGATTGAAGAGCCACCTAAAATCAAATCATAAAAGATAAAATTATATAGGTGAAAGTAGGAAGTAATACAATGCAAGCCATGTAAGATAGGGCACATACCTGGGTTCAGAATTGGAAGAAAATGCTTTAGTAAAGAGACATAGGAGTAACTAGACGCAGATATTGCAGCAAGATATCCATTCCGAGATGTCTCCAACAATGGTTTTGTCACCTATATCAAAGTTAACTTCTTACTAAAGCCAGATGCCAAATGCATAAAGGAACTTTAAAATTTATCAACGTATCTATTGTACCTCTGGTCCGTTGGCAAGTGAGTGCACAAGGATATCTATGTTGCCAAAGTCTTCCTTAACAGATTCAGCAACTTCCTGAAAAGTATAGCAATAAACAACCGATATATCAAAGCTCGCAAATTAAGTCAGGCAGGAATCAGGACAGCTTGAGGCACAGTTCACAATATCATTAAAAAATACCACTAGGCTTAAATATTTCATAGAATGCCAGGGTTCTTCAACTCCCCAGAAGAAAAATATCATATGCTTAACTAGCCAAATGAAAAGACATCGGTAAAGAATCGTCTCCCTCCTTAATGTAGAATATAAAAGTGCTGTAGCTTTAGCTTAAGACATTTTGTAATACGATATCCAGAGGATATGATGTAAGAATAGTAGTTGAATGACCTATGCATAATTCATACTCAAAAATATAGGGCGACATGGTCGTCATAACTGCTATTTGTACATAAAAGTCACACAAGGCATGAAACATATTGGTTCAAAAGTAATAATCTTATATCAAACATGTCAAACACTAGTTTTGAATTACTACTTAAGATGTATAAGAAAATCATTTGTTCACATTTACAAGAGAGGAAAGAAGAAAAACAACCAAAATGTGTAAGGGTAAATCAAAATACATTCTTAGTTTAGCATTTTTTGTCATAGAGATGAAAACAAAGAAAAAATGACTTTAAGCTTCTATTTGGTGGGGGAGAGAGAGGCGTGTTCTTCTTGACTAAAGACGTCAAACACGCTACAGTATGTGACACCAGATTAGTAAAGGCTACAGAAGTCTACTGAAATCAGTCTTAAGCATTACAATAAGCAATCATAATTTTCAGCCTTAAATTCCAGTTTTTTTCTCAAAAGTATATCATTCAACAATTTTATCCAAGATGGCAACCATGAGACCATTTTAACCATGTAAAATTTAGTGTATACCTGAACGGTCCATTTACTGGATCCTGCATACCGCTTGTTTGCTTTTATCTATACAAATTTCAAAAAGAAAAACAAAGAAAACATTAGGATATAAATTCTGACATGAAAAACAAGAAAAAAACCTATGCCTTTCTTTTTTACATCTTCTGGCACTTCATCAGGATTGTCAAAAACTGCATCCAATGGATAAACTTTGGTAATCTCCATCATTGATCCATTTGGTAATCTGAAGAACATAGTTTTGTATTAGCAGAATATTGCATAGTCTAACAGACAAAATCAGTAACAGTACTGAAAGTCATACATGCGTGACCCATCAAACTTTCCACGCCGTAGGCTGGACTCAAAAATATTCAGAGCCTGTAGAAATTATTTACAATTAGTGAATGTATCAACATAATTGGACTGGTAGAAAACATATTCACAAGAGGAGAGGAGGTCTTGTTCCAAAAGTCAGCAGACAGAACCTAGGGAATTTGTATAACAAATAATAAGTAACAAGCTTTTTATCCGAAAGAAAACAAATAACTTACAGGAACCCATGTGCCGACGAGAATTTCAGCTCCTGCTGCAGCAAGAGATTTTGCAATTGCCCATCCGTATCCATTGTCATCAGCAACACCAGCAATAAAAGCCCTTTTACCTATGCATATATTGCTATTTTCAGTAAAGCTATAATAACTTTCATACGCCATGACAGCAAAATCCATATATATATAAAAAAGATAATCACTCAAATTACAAAATTCCATAAGAAAACTCACTTTTCTTGAAACTATCAACAAAAAACTGATAAATCTGACTATTAGATGCTATTAACGTATCGAACTACTATATAAATTGGCCTCAGTTAAAAAGGCCAACTTTCAATAGCTTTTTACAGCCAAGTAACCACCATCTCTTGAGTGGCTGCGAGGAAACAGGTTATGCTTTACATTAATCAGGGGCTCAGTATACCTTGAAATAATTGTAGTAAATATGGAATGAGCAGGTTAAATAATCATAAATTTAACATGTTGCCTAAACTCTAGTTAAACGTCATCGAGACATGTAAATAAAAATTAATATTAACAAAGAGCATCAGAGAAACTGAATGATACCTTTCAGATTAATTGGCAATCCTGAGACAGCACTTTCTGCACTAGACTCGGATGTAGCCTTTGTGACACTTTTGACAGATTTTATGGACGATGAAGTGAAGCCCCGCTGGAAAGATTGCACTGATGCAACATTATATGCACTTGCAAGTTTATTCCATGATCCAATCTTGGACTTGCCACCAAGAACCACAGCACTTGCATCAGCAATCTTCTGTGATGAAGGAATGCATGATCTTGACATCGAAAATTGCAAACCAGAGAATGATGCTGTCGCCATCTTCAATGTGTGCAGAATGGCAGAAGGGGCCCTAAATCTACATAAGAAAACAAGCATCAATACCTTAAAAATCACTTCTAGACTAGACTTAACTGATTTCTTTTTCTTGGGATATTGTATTTAAACGTTAAATGTGACATGGAGAAACAGTGCGTTCTAGTCACCAACAGCTTGATTACAGAATAAAGTTTCGACGATTGAGAATGTCCACATGATTATTATTGAGTTAAAGTAGTCATAAAGTCCCAAATTTTCACGTTTGAACAGAATTTATCATATAAAGGGTAGGTATCATTTAAGATTAAATTAATATCAAAGTATGAAAGTAGTCTAAGAATAAATATACAAAATAATATTCAATAGACCTCCATAACTTCTCTGAATTCTTCGCAGCTGAATAATCTCCTTCATATATTTTAACAAGCACGAAAACACAAATCCAACAAATTAACGTCATCTCCAACAAGAGAAGAAAACATTATAAATCATATGAAACAAGCGGCTTCAAAAGGGACGTGGACATTAAAATACTTAGCAAGTACTTAAAAGTCCAAAAAGAATAAATAATAGCAAATTATTTCAACCAACTTATTAAATTATTTTCAAAACATGATTTACGACTGCTAAATCCCTTTACAGGGACACTCACATAGAACCAGCAATCTGACATTCACGAACAATTATGCAATTAAAAAAGGAGAACCACAGAGGAAATACTCAA